TATATATAATAAGAAATTAATCATGTTTATATATGTTTTGCATATCCAATAGCAAGACTCCAGTGTATATGGCACGGTGTCCTTGTTTATAAAAATGTGCTTGTGGGTTTAAAAATCTTGCAAAGTCTTAACATAGAAACCATACATGCAACACTTTCACGAATATTAAATTCTAAGCATGCAGTATGTTACTTGCAGCTCAAAGCTATCATTTTCACAGGCTACTCAGAAAGAAATTGAGAAACAGAAGGCTCACTTGAAGAGTGTCACAGAGCTAGGAGAGGCGTTGAAGACAGTGCTGGGCAAGAAGGAGACCTTGGTGGAAGATAAACTCAGCCTTCTGAACAGCAACTGGATAGCAGTCACATCCCGAGCAGAAGAGTGGCTAAACCTGTTGTTGGTAAGAGAAGAAACTGAAGGCTTTACCATTTCCATCTGCAATAAGAAAAAATTTACGCAAGTATTCAGTAACAATACTTGAACTTAAAAGTTATCCTCTATTCTCCATATAGGCTGGCTTTAATTTCTTTTTTATTTTAAAGAGGAAAAAAACAAAAACAAACAACAGAAACAAAGATAAAAGTAAAACAACATTAACAAGGTACATAATTTCAAAACAAATATAGAAAATTAACAGTGGTTATTATATGATGTATTGTTATCATCAAATATGTTGCTCAGATTACCTGATATAAGCATTCCAGATTGATCAAGCAATTAAAAATTAACTCTTCCTTTCAATAAACATTAATTATTTCCTTGTCCTCTTTACTTTTTATTTTTTAAATTTATTTTAAAGAGAACATAAAACTAATAATGTGAGACATTAGAACTGTTACACATTTAAAAGAACAAGATGAAAGTTTTCAACTATGGTTGTTATATTGCACATTTCTGGCTTTATTTCTATAGCAATAGATAGCTATAATCCTGTCCCTAGCCTTGTGCTGTATTCTATATGGTGATCACATTTAATAGTAATTGGAATTATGCCATATTTTTAGCTTTTTAGAATTGTGTGAAGTAAAATATAATCTTTGAAAGTATTGCCTAGTGAATAATGTCATGATGTGTCTCTGTACAATTAAGGAATACCAGAAACACATGGAAACCTTTGACCAGAATGTGGATCACATCACAAAATGGATCATTCAAGCTGATACACTTTTGGATGAATCTGAGAAAAAGAAAGCCCAATATAAAGAAGACATACTTAAGGTAGCAAAATGTTGTGAGAAGTGTTTTTCAAACTGTACAACAGTTATGTCAATATATTGATCATAAAAGGTACTAGGGACCTCTTAATAAAAGTGAAATCTTCCTTCCTTCCTTCCTTCCTTCCTTCCTTCCTTCCTTCCTTCCTTCCTTCCTTCCTTCCTTCCCTCCTGCTTTTCCTCCCTCCCTCTCTCCTTCTTTCTTTCTTTCTTTCTTTCTTTCTTTCTTTCTTTCTTTCTTTCTTTCTTTCTTCACTCCCTCCCTCCCTCCCTCCCTCCCTTTCTTCCTCACTCTCCCCTTCCCTTCTTCCTTATTTCTTCCTCTTCTGAATGGGGATTAGTAACATGGAACAGTCCTATAATCTGTACCTTTGACCATATCCACCTGTTAGCTAATCACGCCCAATTTAAAATCTGCTCAGAAAAAAAATTCTAGGATTGACCTTGGTAGCATACTGCAATGTCCTGCCTATATAAATGGTAGCAATACAGTTATATCTTGCACTAATCAGTTTCCTTCTGTCATTCATATAGCCTACCTAAGTGAACACCTGAAATGCAAATAGTTTCATACTTTCCCTATGCCATATTCTAATTAGTTACAAGCTGAGCATCACTGACCGAAAAATTTATCATTCAAAATATTCCAACATCCTAAATTTTTGACTATTGACATGATGTCAATAGTGGAAAATCTCACATCAAGAAACTGTGTTTCATGCACAAAGGCAAAACACTTCTGTCCCAAGTATTTTAAATAAAGTATACTCAGCCTGTAAGTGTTCATAATGCTAAGCTTGTATAAAGCTGAATTTTTCATTTTTTCAATTACATGTTAAATATACATGGCTTCAGGTTCACTTTCTTTTTCTTTTTAATTCAGTACTATGATATCCTAAGTCCTCTTTCTAAAGGATGACTTTACTTTTCCTTTAAAAAATTCTTTAAAAGGATATGAAAGGTATTATATGGAAATATTGATACTATATAAGCTGCATATGATAACATTTTTATCTCAATTGCATAGGAAGAATATAAACATAATAGATGTATTTTGAATTTCAATATATATAATTTACATTAAGGATTTTTAAATTTTACTTTGCTGAAATATAAATAAAACTATAGATGAATTTTGAATGTTAACATGTATAATTTACATTAAGGATTTTTTACTATTATTTTGCTGAAATTTTCAGTAATATGTCATTTTATATGATTTACTTCATACAGAAGACTTAAAATTTCTATCTTTACAATTAATTGTTCATGGATACTTTGCACAGATTATAATTCTTTTATAATGAAAAACTGTATTTCTATCTTGGACTTAACATGTATTTACCCTATTATCTGGACTTTATTTAGATGTTGCAATGAATCTTGATCTGATTGATTCCTTGATATGTGGTCAAGGATATCATTTTATCACAAAGTTTCTTCAAAGATTTTACAATAATAGAAACTGAGTTATTTACCTTAAAAGTTCTGTGACTGCCTTGCATCAGAAAAAACATTCCTTAGTAACTCTGTATGTGACACAAAATCCAAATATGTTAGAAAATCAGTTATGTCCATGGCACTCAATGTTATAAACAAGGAGGAACTCAAAAGTGTCATGAAAGGACACAGAAGTATGCTCCAGCTACCTTCTCTCCTTAGCATAGAGTTAAGTTGTTCTACAGGTGTTCAATTTAGCATAAGAGAAGATAAATACAATTAAATGTAGAGTACTACACTTGTTGCACACAACATG